AATAAAGTAAATAGCGTTATCTATGATCAATTAAATAAATAAAATGACATGACACACTGTTCTCATTTTTTCAATTATTCAACATTAAAACAGACTGAAGATGAGAAATTTAATGGCAGATTTTTGTTTCCTCTACGAAAAATTTATGACCCCACAAAAAATATGAAAAAAAGAAAAAAACTGTTTAGAGATGTTTGTTATATTGAAAAGCTGCTTTCAATGCTCAGAAAATACTGCAAAAATTATGCAGAGTCCTTGCTTTCAAAAGTGAGGAAGTGGAGGAAGAAGCAACTGACCACTTATACTACCAATAGTAGCACATGTTCAATAAGCAGCAGCAGCAGTTTGGAGAGCACTTAAAGAGAACAATGAAAATAACAAGTATTATACATAATTGACCTAACATTTTATGAATATTCTAATTTCAAATAAAAGTTAAACTTGTATTGTCTGATTATAGATATGTTTTTATTTTATTAACATGCTCCAGTGTTACAGCTATTGAACATTTAAATCTTTAGGTAATAAATTCTTCTTTATGTTCAAGAATATAGAAAATTTATTTTCATGGAGTGTTTTGAGAAAACTGTATTTTAAAATTTATTTCCATACTGCTAATTTATTTCCTGTTTTAAATCTGAATTTACTAGTTTTTCTACAAAAAATACAAGAACTTGTCTTGTATTCTATCCCTCTGCAACATCAACAATTTCTAGCAAAGCACAGTAACAGAAATTACCTTTAGGAAAAATATAAGAAAGGAATGGATTGGTATTCAATGTAAATAAAAAAAAAATGTTATGCCACTTATAATTCTGCGGAACCTTCTCTTCAACTTCACTTAAAGCATTAACTGTATCCAGTTACATGTATATAATATTATTCTTTTAACCAACATTTTAACCTACAACTAAAAGTTACATACCAAGTTCACATAAAAACAGTGAATAAATGTCACAAATATTGAGTATTCCACAGGTATTGGACTAAAAGATTGGTTCATTATGAACTCAGATTAATATATTTTAAGTTCTAACAAATCTTTTAGGACAATACCTGATTAATAAAAAAAAAAAAAATTGTCATTGTTCAAAATGTGAATTTGGTAGGCAATAGTTATGAACATGTCAGTATCAAAGTTGGTCATTAATAAAAAATATTCATGTAAATGAGTATTTGAGTTCATCAACTACTGTCTTAAAATAGAAAAAAATCTTGATATTGGGGTATTTTAGCATGCTGTTTTAAGTTGATCCCTGCCTTTAAGATATACTGTAGTAAGAAAAGGCAAAACTATTTTTTAAAATTCTTTCAAGTGAAAGAAGTTTAGTGAAATATTTTTTATATCACGTTTCAGAGGGTAATGGTTCAGAAAATTAATAAATAAAAACAGATATTCCTGAGAAGATAAATCTTCTAATATGGGTCAGCATTCACTCACCGTTGTTTACACATATTTTCAATTAGTTGTATGTTAACAAAAATGAAAAATAATCAATTTTTTTGTGAGAATTCAACTTGACATGGGCTTGCTTTGAACTATTTAACTTTTAATAATTCATATAAGTGGGATTAAATCAAATAGTAATAAATTCAATATAAGTTAGTTCACAAGCAGTAACATTGTCTAATTATATAGCACAAAAATTAAATAATGTTCTATCCTTATATCAGAATTAAGTGTTCCTATCGGCATAATGAGTAAAATGAATTGAAACTGCAGTTTTAATTGGTAATAAAGTTGAATGGATGATTTTTATCTTCTGTAACAATTATTGTTCGACAATCATATTAACATTTTCTAATCAAGCTAGAATAAACTTCTTATTTTTTTATTATATTTATTTGTACTTAACTTTGTTTCCAATAATTATATATGGCAAGATGCCAGCATATAATTTAAACGTAAATAATATTACCCTCAATTTAAAAGAATAACATAATGAACTATATTTGAATAAATACCATTCGGTTTAAAAAGAAATAAATTGAAAAGGGGGGAAATAATTATTTAAATTACAGAAGATGGGAAATGCTTTTAAGGAAACATTAACGTATTCAAGAATTAGTAAAATAATTTGGTCCTTAAGCAAAATTTTTAGATGCATGTGAAATAAGTAAATTATAAAAGTTGATTGTGAGATGAATACAGGATTTAAAAGAATCAATTTTTAAGTTATTTAGAATGTGTTTTCTGGGATTCTTATATTATTATTCAGATTTAGAGACAAATTTTTAAAATTTTCACAATTGTTTCACATTGAAAAATAAAAAAGGGTTATAAATGCATTTCTTAAAGTGTTATATTCACAAAGTTACTGAATACATAGTTTATTTATTTCACCGAATTCACATAATTTTTTCATATTTGTCAGATTTCATTTTCAAACTGTGCTCGTTCTGCAATCATTTATGTATCCTTAACCTGCACACGCGCTTTTGGTCACGAATTTAATTTTTTTTAAACGGACACCAGCATTCAAAATTATTGTATTTCCAAATTTGTTCATCAATACGAGTTCACTAACTACCAATGCAATAACACAATTCAGGAAAAAATGCAAAAAATTCTATTCCAACATGACGCGACGTTCCTGGCAAGTCCTTACAGAGGCACCAAAGACTAAGGAAATACGCCAACGACTGTGTATGAAGCAAGTTGCCAAGCATTGATTCCATATTTAATAAGAACTAGTTAAGCTACGGTGTAGCGGCCATTATTGGTAAAAATGTAATCCATCTTTGTTCCGAACTTATGCTGGATATAACTATTCCCGGAATAAGCGTGTTTTAACGAAGATACCAAGCTTTTATTAGTGGGACTGTTAAGAGTTACTCTTATGTTTGTGGCGCACTTCAGTCATGATAGTTTCGTAATAATGACTCAGTCGTGAAAATATATTCACGCCTAGACGCGATTAAAATCAATACCCGAGTTATTTTTATAAATAGAGCAAAGAAAAAAATTCATCATTCTTAAATACGAGCATTTCGAATTAGTTGAATGTTTTGAAATAAACAAACAGGTCTCTCCTGTCCTCCATACTTGCATTTCTGTGCCTCGATGAACTCAATCGTAGATCTGTCTTTATCCTCTGGTAGCGCACTGCTAAAATATTGCACATTGATACAATGTTGAGTGTGTAATGTAATGCTAGGCGAGAAAAAAGCCCACAAAAGTAATTAGTTTGTAATATATTAAGGTTTATAGTAGTAAATCATAGCCTGTAGTTCTGGCATTCAAAGAAAGCTAGCCTAAGTTTATTTGATATTTCTTCAGTACATTCAGAAATCACGCTGTAACTCAATGCACTTGACTCTTTATTTATTAGTGTAGATATAGTTATTTGTTGTATAATTCAACAATGTAAAACAAGTGTATAAGTTAACAATTCTCGCGTATGAGCGGAGAGCTCTCTTAACATATAAGAAACTTTCTGTCTGACCTCCTAAATTGAGCATAGGAAGTTAATGGATTAAGAAGACAATAATGCACTCTTAAGAAACACTATTACAAAATCTAGATACTTTCGATTCAAACTGTTTAATTTGTCTCGCAAGTGACAATTTGAAATCTGATTATTACATTGTAATGGATAACTTCTTTGCTTTTGCAAAGGAAATTATAATTCATATTTCTAAGTTTGGGGTAATAACTGTCAACTGACTCGTCCTACACCGTTATGGGCCAGATATTCAATGATGTCCTGCAACTCTGGCGTGCTGTATGCGTTACTTTTAAAACACCCGCCGGTCGCACCGTTCGCGAACTCTAGTACGCTTGTCACCTTGGCCGCGACCTTGGCATGCTTTCCCTAACAATCGCTTCCCCACCACAAAGCGATTCATTTAAATAAGTATTTTTCTGCGTTATTTATGTACTTACTGATGTATTTTTGGTTAGCGAGTTGTAACACATCACTATCATTACATCTACCGCGCGCCCCTGAAGGAACAATAGGACTGTCAATGGGGGTGATTGGAACGAAAGGGACACAATGGAGATACTCAGTGCAGTCACACCTCATAACATTCGTTCATATTGCTCTACGGCTCTTAATTTCCTTTATGCTCAATCCAACACGCTAATCTTGTGTGTGGAATTCTTGGGAATTTTTTCAAAACATTAATAAAGGGCTTTGCAAACCTTGTTTAATATAGACGTACATAATATTGGCCAAATATTGGTAATTTTTTAAGTTATATAGTTATTTTTTTTGTGTAAACTTAAAATATATTTGTCGTGTTCCTCATAACGAATTTTCCTAATGTGTTGTAATCTCTGAATTCCATGCTATTCGCATTACGAGTTGTTTCTTAATACTTCGCATCACATACCACTTAATTTGCCCCTTTTCGTGGCATGAACGTACAAATAGTAATATTTATTTTTCACGTGTTTGTAATTAATTTCATTGAGTGACATTTATCAATTTTCGAGAAAATGTACCAACTTATAAAAATGAAAATATTTAATTAACAGTACTGTCATTTGCTCCCCAATTCTGTCAATTCACGAATTTCATAAAACAGATTTTTCTTCGGCACTAACTATCTCCAGAACTTCGGCTACTTGGAAGTACAACTTTCTGGACGGTACAGAAAAAGAGAAATCATCAAACTGCTGTACAATAAGGAAACGTTTCTTTTCAAAATGACAGAAACATTTGAGAGGATCAGTACAACGATGATCTACCCCTCCCCCCCAAAAAAAGAAAATTAAGTATCGACGCCATTTCTTGTCTAAGTAGATGAAGAATCTTTGTTTATTGTTGGGTAGACAAGTTTTCCCCTTGAAGTTTGAATTTGAAATTAACGGGAATGAAAAGTCTATTTTCCTTTTTACCAGTGTAACCACAAAAACTATATAACATTAAAGTGCTCTGTCTCAATTCTTGGAAGAAGTTGCACTGTTGCGCTGACCCCTTCAGTTGTTCATCTGTTAGAGGAGAGGGTGTGCGGGCGGGCTTACCGTGCGAAATGAGCCCTCCGAGCTCGGTGACGACGCCGCCCAGCAGCGGGAAGTAGGGGCTCCAGCCGATGTCGGTGCTGCGCGTGACGAGGATGTCGCCCTTGCGCAGCTGCGAGATCTCGCCCAGGTGGTGCACCACGCACGCGCGCCCCATCACCGTGCCCGCCCACACGGGCGTGCCCTTCAGCCGCACGACGCCCTCGCCGTCGCCCTCGCCCCGCGGCAGCGGGCTCGTCTGCGCAACGCACGAGCGGTCAATGGCAGGGATGCGATGTTTCCAAAAAAATCGATATTTTTATAAAATTATCGATGTATTTAACTACATTTTGAAACCGACGATTTTTAACATCGATGTTTCATGTTTTTACGTGGTGGATACGTGTGTAGAAGCGAAGAATGAATTTCTTTGATCGTAACATGGCTCGCGCTTCGCCGAAGTTGGCGCACTTGTTTCTTAGATTTACTTGTGAAACTTATAGTTGCCTTCGTGACTGGTAGATAGCGCAGCGCGGAAATATCTTTTAAGTAGGCGTGGCGGCACTTGGCGTGTGACAATGTAAAGAATGTGTGCACACTATGTTCAATTGCATAATGTTTACAAAGAATTTGCTTTTTAATTGCAAGGAACCACAAAGGAAGAGTGGTACACCAAATATTATATAAATATAAAAATAACACTAAAAAGTTTGAAGTCAATTCTTACGTCAATAGGTTTTGGCAATCCGATAACCATTTCGGGCAGTTTCAATTTCTCCCATTGCGGCCAAAGCCGTTGTCTTCTACCAGCTCTGAAAAGGGACATCGATTGATCATGAATAAATTCATAAATTATTCCCTTCTCCGTGTTAGCACTTATTATGTGAATGTTTTCTGGACGAACCATGTAGAAACGTTACACCTTCAATAATTACATGTAGCTACATGTCCTTCGTTTTGAAAGATGTGAAATTTTAGCAAAAACATTTTTTTCATTTGCTTTTATCTCAATGCAGTTATAAATGAAAGCAGCGATAAATTAAACGTAGAATTCTTATGTAATTCATAGCGCTGTAGTAACTAGAATATCATTATTAAGCACGGTCTCATGAAAGCATTACTGGCGAGATCAACAGAGGGATGTTACATAAGTCGTAGTGCTCAATTGTGAGAAGAAAGGGCACTATGAGAGAAGTCGGCGAAAAGGCAAAGGGAAAACAAAAAGGTGCTGTAGGATCCGGAGAACAGGCCTCAATTTGCGCAAAGCGGAGAAGGCATTTTCTCAGCACTCTGAGGCCCGCGTGGGACTGTCCTTGGGCACCGCCTCGTTGATGGTTAGCAGCAGGTCTCGCAGGAGGGGGAACCTTATGTTGGTCATGTGAGTGTCAAGAAATGTCACCATGGTCGCTATTAGCGTCTCTGAATACAGACCAAAAGTCCAATACTCAGGTACGAGTGTGCTAATATAGTCCGAGAAAGCAGCAAACGAAAATCTTCAAAGAAGCGACATTACATGTAATGTGTTGTATGATGATTCAATTTCAAAAAAATCTTTTAAAACTTATTTTAATTATATCATTTCCTGCGATAATTTAATACAATATTCATTTCATGTTTTGAAATTTAATTACATACACGCAAGTACATGCGAATGATAAAAGAAAAACGATAAGACGTTACGCAAATACTTTTACAAGCAACTTCCTTAAGATTTCGTATACTCGCATGTTTTGAATTGAATTGAATTGAATTTATGCCTTATTTTACGGTAAAACGTTTTCACGTATTTCCAATAAAGACTTAATCGTACATAGCACCTCTACACAATGTTATAATGTCATCAATTTTAATGCGTGATATCTTTTCACATCGTTCATCGGCGCTGGTTAGACAGTCTTTATAAGACTTCGAATATGGACACCGTTGCAGATTGAAAGAGACTCAACTTTCAGAAACATCAAGGATATTATGTGATACTTTCAGCTGTATGTTCTAAAATATCTAATGCTGATTATTAAGACAGGTCGAAAGTGTCAGTGTCTTAAGAAGCGATAGCTCGTGGGGACGCGCCTTCCTTATTAGTGCTCCGAGGCAAGACTTCGCTCGTTTCCTGACGTCTGCTTCGAATACAAAATCCACTTGGACTTCACCCATAAGGTAACTGGGCACATTGACTTGACGAGGAGGGTGGCGGTAAACTGGTCGACAGAAATCATGCTAGAATGCCCACTGCTTCAATATAATGATGTGTTTCTCCCCTGATAGTAGAGATGATAAACAATTTGTAAGCCCTCGCGATTTGAAAGGAAAATTAGAGTAAGATATCAGTGGATATTGAGAACAAATACATTCTCCATTCAAGTTAAAAATAATGTAAAAATAATTCGTATCTGTAATGGATGTCTCAATTCCATTACCTTCGTCTCTAAGGATTCATGTTTCAGAAAGTGAACCTGAAGATGGTGTCACCAACTGTCGTGATATTAATGGAATGATACAACGAACATAAAATATAAAATATATCAAATCCTCGATAGTCCTCACAGAATTATAATTCGGAAAAAGTATTTAAGAAGAAAATAGAATAAAATAATCGTAACAAGTACGAGTGAAACATTATTATTGAAAAGTAAGAGCTATATCTATTTGCTAAGCATGAATGGGGCCTTTATATCTGAAAATATCCGTGTACGGTCTTCAAGGAAAAATTGAACAGAACATACGGAATAAATGGATTCAAAGTAACTGTCCTGTTCTTTGCTTATCAGCAACAACATCAGCTACTGTACAAGGAACAAGTTCTCCTACTTGTGGATTGCAGCTTCAGAACCACAAGGTTTTCTAATAGATACCGTTAGGAAAGGATGAAGTCGACATTTCTCTGAATACGGCGATAGAACTCTAGCGCATGAACAGTGAAGATGTGTTGAAGAAATTATTACCAGAGACCAGGGTTTATTTCAGGCTCTAAGAAAGTGTCAGGAAATATTTGTACTGACTAAAATAATTGACTGTGTGTAGGCAGACCTTGACGGTTACACGATTGTAGATGGTTAATGAACTTCTAATACCTTCGCAGTCACGCTGCCGAAACATGACGCTTGATGCAGATTAACTTTTGAGAAGAAAGTTTAAATAATTTGGAACTTATAAATAGTGTAATATATAACAGGTAGGAAAATTTAATTGTTATACTTGTACGAACTGTGTAAATGTTATCTTATCACGATAAAAGATTTGCAGCAAGAAAGAAACAATTTGAAGTCAGAATGTCAAAATATGGAACATTCTGCAGATTAGCGAGACACCTTCCCAGTCGAGACAAGCCCTAAGCTCCCGACTGGACTCTAGACCAAAGTGGTAGTGTCGTTCATGTGAGTGTGTGTGCGTAAGTAAGGGGTGAAGAAAGGACAAGGAAGAGGACAGAAAGATCGCGCGCAGTCCGTTGGTTGGTTTTTATTGATTCAGGGCGCGCCAACTACTAAGGCCATAAGTCCCGTAAGTGCAGTGCGTGTTTTTCCTCGGGTAGTGATCTTCCCCCACTGGATGACGATATCCGGCGCCGACCTAGCGGGGTTTCCTCAACCTGATACCTCCCACCAGGGGCACCGCCCCACCCGGGACACGCTCTAAGCTCCCGACCGGTCTCCCGGAATGTGTGGAAGTGTAATGCATGTTGTGTTTGTGTAAGGGGTGAGGATAGGTCAAGGAAGAGGATGGAAAGATCGCGCGCGGACCATGGCCCGTTTATTAGAGTACTGCTCCCGCATTCACCTGGTGTTGATTGGGGAAACCACGGAAAACTACATATCAGAGCAGGCGGCCTCTAGAATTCTCCTACTGACAGCAACTGAATTCGACCTAGCTGACAAGCCATTGTCGAATATCTTGCCACTGCCGGGACTCGAACCTAGGACCTCCCGGTCAGAGGCACTAAAGTGACATCAGTCACCTCTCGGAGCGCGCAGTCCATGACCCCCTGTTTGCTGGGGCATTCACCTGGTTGTAACTCAGCCAGTCGATATTTGGAATTTTCGATAGAACTTCGAAATTACAATTCTGGTCTCCGTTAATTTCAGTTTTCTGAGTTCACATCGAAGGTGTGATGTTAGAGCCCCGAGGAAGGCGGTTCGCAGGCGGGCACTCACTTTGCGATGAGCGCGGCGCTGCGCGTGGCGAGCAGCTGGCCCAGCTCGTAGTGCGTGAGGAAGAAGATGAGGTGCGCGTCGGGCAGGCGGCCGCCAGCTACCAGCATCTGCGCCAGGCGGCGGTACGCCAACCGCATCTGGTGCACGACGCCGATGAACGACGCCTTGGTGCGCTCGCGGCTCGCCACGGTGCGCCGGCACCACGGCAGCAGCAGGCTCAGCACCTTCCTGCCCACGTTCAAGGCACAACTCTTTTGTACTATTGTCTTTAAATCCCAAAATTATTTTACAAGAGCAAATCTTTATACATGTAATAAATAATACGAGGGTTTGAGGCATAAATCATGGCAACTATTTTTTTTTTGTGAGAATATGAGCACGGGTGGAAAATGTGAAATATACACATGAGAGGACAAGGTATGAACTAAATCCATGTGCGTTTAACGACACACCAAAATTGTGTTTCTCATATTTATTGAGGTATTTGAAATGATAGTACAGCTTTCATGTTTCAAAGAATTTTAGCATATACGAGTTCACAACATTCCAAAAGCATTGCATTTCCGTTCAAAAGGCCCGATTATGCTCGATTACCGTACGTGCCACGTCGGACCGCACTCTCATAGATCATCACGTGCGTTGCTGATCACTGGTTGCTACGCGTCCTTGCTGACACTTTCCTGCGCATCTTGTGACTCCCCGGTATGGAAGGACACTATTCCCAGGAACTTCCACCAATTTTCTGTGATCTTGTCCGGCATTTCTCACATGGAGAGCGGCTATCTTGGAGTATGAGCACCGCTTGAAACGGGTTTTATTCTTCTGGCACGGTGGCAGTCAGACAACTGATTTCTCATGTCTCTCTGTGCTAATATAGAGACTCACAACTATCTGTTGTTGTGAACACACATTAGTACAGCATTTCTTTCAAGCGACAAATTGTGTTATCCGATAACATTTTTTAGGAAAAATATAGTTACCATGACTTCTGCCCCAACCCTCACACATTTCACATTTATTTCACTGTTTTATTTTACTTTTTTGGGTTTCGTTGATAAGTATATTTTCATCAAGATCATTAGCGATAATACACAAAATCCAATACACAGTATAAAGGATTCGAGATGAAAATTATTTTCATAAGTAAATTTACTAGTGGTTTGAAGCTAGAGCCGGATAAAACGCATTTTACTATCGATCGTTCTCGCCGGCTTGCTATTGAAGTTTTCAAGGGCAGGCGCGCTCCAAGGTGGGTTTCTACCGTTACAATCTATGCGTAGGTCCCTGTCTAGGATCGGAACTGCCAATGTTGTATCTAAGGGTGGGGCTGATACAGCTCATTCTCTGCAGTTTAGGTGGAGCGCAATTTTCTGTAACTTTGGTTTGTTGCACCGTGAGCTCTCTTACAAAGAATAAAATTATTTAATACCAATTTTAAATACTTTTAATAATCATGCAGTAGCATGTCCCGTTATTTTTATAATTTTTTTCCCCTGTCTACCGATTTGGAACATATTTGATAGTTGTTACACAAGCTGAATTATTCTTATTCTTTTGCCTTATCGTGTCCAAACTAGCTTTCCTGACATACTTATTTGTCCATTTAGATGTAAATTTTGTTTTATGTGACAGTTTTTATACCGTAAACTAGTTCTCTTAGTTGAGATAAGGAGTGAGGAAGTGATTTTTTTCTTTTCATTTCTGTTTTCTCACGTTTAGCTCGTTGAATTAAATATTTTATTTCGAGAAGTGATACTTCGACAAATTGTTTTGCCGCCATGAACTTTTGGTTGTTGTTTGAATTCGTCACTCTTGTTTCCGCGAAACATTTAAATGCCATTTGCGGCAAACACACACACACACACACACACACACAACTTTTCAATTTACACCTCAGGAATTGGTTTATTTCCATCTTATTATAAAGAGCTAACGACCGGATTAAAACTAACTGCGCATGAGTGATCTATGGGACTCTATTCGTACATTGAGTCGTAGGTGAGTAACGAAAAGAGCAGCACTTTTTCTGGTTGAATTGCATGTCCAATATGAGCAACGTTCGTGACGTTTTATGTGTCTTGTATGGCTTTCAAAAATGGAACTAAATACGTCCTAGAAGAGTATAGAAATTTTAAATAGTTAACGTTTACAAGGTAGTTATGGCGACGGCCGTCTGCGCTATAGAGCGCCACCTCACACTTTTTAAATTATTTTCTTCTTCGTCAGATTATAATAAAAGTAATGCAGAGTAATAACTAAGTCCTTAGAGCAGTGTCGTAAAACATACTTTGCAAACAAATGGTTTTCCATTATCTGTTGTAGCAACAATGACAAACAAGATCATATTCTTATGTAGTGTAAAACAAGTCCAAAAAACAGTGCTAGTCGCAAAGATCACCGCATTTTCGAAACAAGTTCATTTTTGTTCTACATGAAATGTATTACGTTATTTCGTCAGTTATCTCAATTCAGAGCTAATACAAAACTCGAGTACCTATGGGAAATTAAAGCCAGAACCATGTATATGGGAGGTGAACATAACTAACACGAACTGAACGCATACAATTATGTAAGTAATGATTGAATGTAGACTTTTATTAAACTTAGTTCTAATTAATTTACATGAATTGCTTACGTTCGTTGGGGCACCATCTCACTGATCTTTGCGAGAGTATGCTTATGGAAATATTTTCCGCACTGTGCTCGAGGGAATATAAACAATTTCTACACAAGTAATTGACTAATATGATACCGATAATAATTCTTATTTTTAAAGAGAAAAGTAAAGAGTTTCTTAATATACTCTCACCTTGTTTTATCGTGCTTTACCGACTTCAGTCTCATTACTGTATCTTCTGCTGACACCACTTCTTTGACAGCTTCGTTTACATTATAGGAACTGACCATGGTTTGTATGGTTCCCACTACATCATCTGGTTTCATTGACCACGTTTCCGACATAAAATCAAACTGCAATACAAATTTATATTTGATAATCATGTCCGTCACTAAAAGTTTCGTTAAAACACCGTAAGCAGATCAGATCCTTACTTCTTGAATACACCGATAGCCATGCTTGGAAATGAATTTTTTATACACTGCAGCAACTTCGCCAGTGTTTGCCTGCAACCATTCTACGGCTAAATCTGGTGGCAGTGAGCAAAATTCTGCTCCACGTTCAGATTTAGCTATGCAATCTGCAATAGCCTGAAAATTGAAATATTACAAATTATTTAAAGATAGCAATTTCTATCGTAATAGACGTAATAGACCAACTACTATTTAGTTTGAAAAACGGAGAAATAAATCCATCTCTCTCTATTCAGTTCAATTATTTACAACATTTTAACATCGTATGACAAAACGTGTTTCAGTGCACAGTACGTACTGTCGCACAAGTACTTATAATTTGTTTGTGATCCTTACCTTAATATCAGTTGGTACTTCCGCAGATACAACATCGGAGCAAGATGATAAAAGCAACGAAATATCATTGTAATGCTCGGTTGTGAGATCTGGCAATCAATAAAGTTATCAGATTCACACTTCAAGATTCAATACTTACATGTACAGCAACAAAACCGACGTTTTTCGACATAATTATCTACAAACCTTCACTTCCTTCTGTTAAAATCGACATTGCCACTATCTGCGAGAAAACGCTCACTCTCGATGTCCAGCTATGAAAACGTGCCACCTGTAAGCATTTGCAATTTGTTGATAAGCAATGATGGGAAAAAGTTTCCTTTAACGCATCCTTCGTAAGCAAACATTTGATTTTCTAGTAATGAATAAAAAACACCAACCTCCAATAATTTATTTATATTTTGAGTAATTGCCAAATAAAGCATTTCTGGAGTTGTGTATTTGCAATCATTCATTTTTATAGACTTAAGAACTTCCTCGGCTTTCTTCACACGACGATTGTTCAATACGCTATTCTATAAAAGGAAAAAAAAATAAAATATATATTTTTATGTTTCAAAAAGAAAATAATTCAAATATTCAGTGTGTCTGTACGACGGTACTTACTTTTAAAGCATCAACCAAATTCATTATTTTCCCTTTGTTCGTCATTGTTCCGTATCTCTCTAACCCGTAACCAAATAGTTCAGGTGTGGAAGCTACGTGGCCGTATATGGCAATCTCCCCAACTTTCAATGCGGTCGTCATTTTTTCTTCAAGTGTACGGTACATAGTCTAAACAATAATAAATTTTACATGAATGATTCAGTAAAAAAATATCTCTTAAAGTTCCCAATTCGGATAATTTGAGATATTTTATACTCACATTATGAACATTTAGCAAGACTCGATGATGAGAGGTATTGATAGTGTTAGAGCAGTGCCTACAGTAGTCCGCATGAGCACTAGTGCATACCGCTTTGTCAAGAACGGGAATCAAAATGGACTGAGCCAGTGGCGACGTGAGTTTTGGAAACACCTCCCTAAACATTGAAAGTTGATATTAAAGCTCCTTGAAGTTCTTTGTATCCACGTGTGTTAGGAACGGAGGGGAATACCATTTTTTGCTTTCTTCATCTGACCTCGCTTCTTAATGTAATGAATTCATGCGTTATTGAAAGAACATAAGTTCGGTCTATTCTTGACGATAATGAATGCTTTATTTAGGATGTTTGGAGAATTTATTTTGTTTTATGTTAGGTCTGTTGATTCTAAATATGTATTCGTTTAGTGCAAAGGTTCTTTTGTGGAAAGGTTGAACAGCTTGGAAGAATCCCTCTTTATGTGTTTTGGCCTCAGTGCGTGCAGTGCTTTTCCGAGCTCTCGTTTCGCGCCGTTGTGTATTATTATTGTTGTGATGTTTTGTTGTTGTTGTTGATCGTCGTTAACCGTTATTATGGTTGCCGTTTCCTCCTCCTGCTGCTGCTGTTTGTGAACAGGTACCGGCAACCATCTCACCTCATGTGAACATACTTCACATTTTCATTAAATAATTATTTCGCTTTAAGAAGTATTAATTTCAGTTTGCACAAATCGACGGTGGTTTTATAAGTATTCGTGTACTCTCCGGATACTCTTCACAAAATACACAGTCGGACAAGAAGATTCTGGTATCTCCACATGTTCAGAAATAAAATTTTCCATTTATTTCTGATAACGATTTAGCCGCGACCAAGTGTGTTGAGATGTTGCTTCATTTCCATTCTGTGCCTGATTACTATGACGATTAGTAAGAAGTTCTATGGCATCCCTGTAGCACATTCCATCCTCATCAGTGCATTTTACCAAATTTCGCTTTGAAATATCGAGCTGAATGGAAATTACAGCGAATGTTAAACGCATAAAAATGTTTCGCGTTTTACTCAACAAATTTTTGACAGTTTTCTGTTTGTTTTATCATATGTACATTTTTTTATAGTTTCGATACTAAAAATACCTGCGAACAGTTCATAAAATTTTTCAACGTAAGTTTGAACAAATTCTTGAATTTCCTACTGCGAAGAAATCCGATTAATTTCCCAGGTTCATTTCACACAAAAATGTTGTAAGGCTCAAATACTTAATACACTTTTCTATAAGCATGTCGACGTGATGAATTCGAATCTGAAGCCAGAAATGCGCCATCATCCCTTAGTTTTTTTTAATAGCGAAAAATCATTGTGACTGTGTATTTTTTGTTTTCGGGGGTTGTCGTCAGACCCAGAGACATGATAGATATTTTTTATGTATGTCGACGCGCTGGATCCGAATGTGAAGCCAGAATTGTGTCATCAACCTACAGGTTTTGTGAATTTTTTTTGCGTAATTCTGGCTTCGACATACAACGATTTAGCGCGTCGACATACATAGAAAAACATGTATCAAGTCTTTGGGTCTGACAACGTTTTTTATTTCGTGTGCCAGTGTTCTTGGCAAACTAAAACCCTAACTACGTATCTCAGAAGATAACAGATGGAAGACTATATATCATGTGTTATTTTCCGCAAGGAAAACATGAATAGTGGAACAAGGTTGATTTAATAAGCATAGAATGATGACTAAATGGGAAAAAAGTAAGGGCTTCATCTGCCGGCAAAAATTATTTTTTTGATAGTAGTACCCTGTATTTCCAATCGTTTGAACTTCCGTGTCTGTAGGAATTGCTCCATCAAGTTCGTGCAATAGTTCTGATGGAGTCCAAGCGTCCAGTGATGTGATCGGCCGGGACTGCAGAAGATGTACGTCATCCTGCACAGAAAGGAAGACTCGTAAGCTTCCATAAATGTTTGAAGGTTCAACAATTTTATTTAGAATTTTGTGACATTTTGGGTGTAATTAAAAACATGCTAAAATTTTGAGTACTCAATGCAATATATAGTAGTGAGAAATAGAGATTGTTAATCTTCCAATATATGTAAGACTCCACACTAATACAGATTCATATACTTGTTGTTTTGTACATGGTAAAAATACAATTCTTCATATCTACGTTTTAAAATAAATTGTTAACTCAATAGCAAGTCTGTTTTTTGTACATCTTTGAATTCAGCTCTAAGTACTATGATGCAATAAGTATGAAAAAAATTAGTATGACTTTTACATATTTAATTCATACATTCACAATCGCCCACTCGATATCTCTAGGTCCTCCATATGCGATCTCCAGTTCGATGCCAATCTTGCCCAGGCGTAAAATTTCTTCAGGATACAAGCACAGCTGTTTCGATTCACTGCTATCTATTTCGTGACTAGTAACACCTCCTTCATCTATAAAACGGAGATCAAGAAATAAATTTAATTTAATTCAACTGAACAATGTTAAGGCAAATTTTTAAATTTGTATACATATTCTAACACGCAATTATAACGATGAGATGATCTATACAAAGTATTTTAATTAATTTAGGATTATGAAAGAATGAATACTATAATGTTCAGAATCTACGAGAGTGAGATTATGAAATATATAGTATGTGTATACATATTTGATTTTTCTTTACCATATATATTTCTATACTATGAAAAATTCAAATTTAAATAACATTTCCATCTTGAAAGATAACTGAATAAAATAGTTACTCATCTCTTCGCTAAGTGAAATCTACTCGCTACTTCTCACCGTCCATTTGCATACGATGCCGCTTTGTGCCGCAAGAAGTCTCTGCGATGGATAGATTATCTTGCCAGTCGCGCTCCAACACTATCATGTCTGGCTCCACTTGCGCAGAGACTACAGTCTGAAATAGAGCACAAAACATTCGACAATATTGCTGATTTTGCTAACTGAAGACCTTATTTCCAAAGTGACGTAGTTCCAAAGAAAATATTGATATATTGTATTCCAAGTTATGATGCAACGGTTTTCGGATACCGCTTAATCAAACTCCCTCCTCCTTCTTTAGCGTTACGTAATTTATGGACGGCCCCCAAAATAACATAATTTGAACAAGACGTTGCAACTGAATTTAATTTATCGAAGGAAATTTTAATAAATTTTACTTAAATACTATACAATTTATTTGAAAATGGAAGGTTCATTAGTTCAATAATCGTAAATAAACAATTTTTTAGACCTATAACAAAACCTCTCTTATATATATTTTATTCCAAAATAAAAATCTCACCTCTCCCAGCCCATAGTTGGCTGTGATGAGAATCTGGTGTGCCGCTCCGCTGACTGGATGGTGAGTGAACAACACCCCCGCTTTCTCGGCTGGCACCATGACTTGCACAACCACGCCCATGCCACAAATAATGGGTTGTCCGTGTTGTCTGAGGAAAGGGATACAATTATTTGAAAAAATTAAATATTTTTATATCATAAAAGAAATGGATATGGTGAAAAAATAATTTGTTTTTTTTTAAATAAAAAATTAAAATTAAGAAAAAAGTATATATGTATGATCATACATGGAAAACATGGCGCATCTATGTCACTATGGTCAAATGTCAAGTAATTTTCAGCAAATAAAATTTGGAAAACATACATCATTGAAGAATACAGAGAAGAATCGCGTACATTTATCATTTTTAATCGATCAAAAGGCAGTTAATCAGCCACGTCTCCCTGAAAAAAGTGAATGAATCATGCCAGGTAACCAAGTTATCTTCATCATTTATCAACTTTTCAAGAAAGTTACATAAAAGATTAAATTTCTCGTTAATTAGTCAATTAAAATTTATTTGTGTATTATTAATCATCACTCCGCAAATGTGGTACTCACACAAATCTGCTCAAGAGGATCAGAATAAATACAGATGTAAAATCGTTTTGAACAAATTGTATATCGGAATGTCTAGTAACGTCACAAAAGAAAATGCACCATATTCTATACTCTTGAGTTTCTTTGTGTGCCGAGATACACTAAAAGATTACTTTTTCAGGTCCCATTTAGAGATGAAAGGAATATGGACGTCGAACACCAATTTAATTTTTTCCTATTTGAATTTCGCATCAAAATTGGTTGACAAAAATACCATCAAATTCAACTATTTCTCCCTGTCCCTGTAATTATTTTCAGCCTGATATATTCAATAGAAGCTGAAAAAAATATATCATGAAAAACACGTTCCTCATATCTCGGCATCAGAGGAGGATTGAGGGAATCTAAGAGGCTGATTTTGTGGGAATCTATTCTTTTTCATATGAGCACCGCGATAATCGATTTTGTTTGGGGGCACTTTCCACCGCCTTATTCGGCTATATTCTTTATCTCTTTATAACAGTAGTGTGTAGAAGTAGTTATTGATAAATACAGTAGTTCAAACTAAACTCCCCTTATTTAACATTTTTCGTGAACTTTCGAAATGTAATGCAACTGTCAGGGCGCCATTTTCAAAAAACTCTATATTCTTCTAGTAATTCTCTGAACGCAAAGAACGTCCGCGGTATTGGAAGATCCTATTCAATTTAATGGATTTTACTTTCACCTCAATTAAAAAGTCTTCCCTTTCTATATAAAATAACTATAAATAAATAACTGTAACAATTGATGTAAAACTTGTACACATTCTAACACGGCCTTTGTAGAAAGAAGACCAGTAAACTAGGACCGCATGCGATCTTTATTCCTTCATCCCCTACTCTACCACATACATCGGACGACCAGTCGGGAGCATAGAGCTTCTCACAGCTTCGGCAGTGCCCCGCCGGTGGGAGAAAACACGCGAGACGACGTGCAGTTCGCTACTGGATATCTCGTTTCAATAGGAGAGGAACACCGCCACCTTCCAGAATATAAACATGTCCTGCACTTCTGTCCGTAGTAGTTGAGAAGCCCAGAATTTAAAAAAAACTCGCTCACTAGAAGACCTGTAAACAATTGAGCAGTTCGTTTAGTGAGAAGAAGCACGCACCTGCGGTATTCGACGGACTGGAAGGCGTAGAGAGAGGCCCAGCAGCGGCGGAGGCCGCGCAGCACCTCGTCTGCGCCGCGCAGCCCCAGCAGCGTCTCGTTCTGGCCGGCCGCCGACAGCTCCTCCGAGTCCTCGCCCAGCGCCGACGAGCGCACCGCCACGCGCGGCTCCGCGCCCTCCACCGCCAGCAGCTCCTCCAGCGCCCGCCGCGCCTCCACCTCCACGC